CCTCTAGCGCAAGTGTTCTCTCATGGAGTATGTTCTACTGTAGAGAGGTGTCCTCTAGTGCAAGTGTTCTCTTATGGAGTATGTTCTACTGTAGAGAGGTGTCCTCTAGCGCAAGTGTTCTCTTATGGAGTATGTTCTACTGTAGGAAGGTGTCCTCCAGCGCAAGTGTTCTCTTATGGAGTATGTTCTACTGTAGGGAGGTGTCCTCTAGCGCAAGTGTTCTCTCATGGAGTATGTTCTACTGTAGAGAGGTGTCCTCTAGCGCAAGTGTTCTCTTATGGAGTCTGTTCTACTGTAGAGAGGTGTCCTCTAGCGCAAGTGTTCTCTCATGGAGTAATGTTCTACTGTAGAGAGGTGTCCTCTAGCGCAAGTGTTCTCTCATGGAGTCTGTTCTACTGTAGAGAGGTGTCCTCTAGCGCAAGTGTTCTCTTATGGAGTCTGTTCTACTGTAGAGAGGTGTCCTCTAGCGGGAGTGTTCTCTCATGGAGTCTGTTCTACTGTAGAGAGGTGTCCTCTAGCGCAAGTGTTCTCTCATGGAGTATGTTCTACTGTAGAGAGGTGTCCTCTAGTGCAAGTGTTCTCTTATGGAGTATGTTCTACTGTAGAGAGGTGTCCTCTAGCGCAAGTGTTCTCTTATGGAGTATGTTCTACTGTAGAGAGGTGTCCTCTAGCGGGAGTGTTATCTCATGGAGTCTGTTCTACTGTAGAGAGGTGTCCTCTAGCGCAAGTGTTCTCTCATGGAGTATGTTCTACTGTAGAGAGGTGTCCTCTAGTGCAAGTGTTCTCTTATGGAGTACTAGACGAATGGCCCGGGCAACGCCCGGGGTTTACCCGAGTGCTAATATATTTTAAAAACGTTGACTTGGGTGGTCGCTATTAACAGGGTGGTCTGTATAGACAGGTGGATGTATCACACAGCTGATAACAGGGTTGTCTAGAGAGGCAAACTTACAGAGGCAATCCCCAGAGAGAGTGTTTTTTGTTGCATCATGCTGTGACTCACACGACGACCCAAGGTCAACAGGGGTGGAGCAGCAAGCTTCAGCCTATCACCGTCTGGCGGCGCTGCTTGCGAGTTATATCTACAATTCTGCAAATAACTCTAAGGATATTCAAGAAATTATTTTTCGAAAACCTTTCCGGGGATATACCTAATAATATCCCAGAATTTCATGGCGATTGGATGTATGGTTTTTGAATAACAGGGTTGTCTAGAGGGGGGCAGGGAGGACACGTGTTCCCTTGCAGCCAATGAGCGCGCATTCTATCCGTGAGCTTCAGACAAACAGATAAACAGACAAACAAACAGACAGAATAAGGCAAATATATAAGTAGATGTTCTACTGTAGAGAGGTGTCCTCTAGCGCAAGTGTTCTCTTATGGAGTCTGTTCTACTGTAGAGAGGTGTCCTCTAGCGGGAATGTTATCTCATGGAGTCTGTTCTACTGTAGAGAGGTGTCCTCTAGCGCAAGTGTTCTCTTATGGAGTATGTTCTACTGTAGAGAGGTGTCTTCTAGCGCAAGTGTTCTCTTATGGAGTCTGTTCTACTGTAGAGAGGTGTCCTCTAGCGCAAGTGTTCTCTTATGGAGTATGTTCTACTGTAGAGAGGTGTCTTCTAGCGCAAGTGTTCTCTTATGGAGTCTGTTCTACTGTAGAGAGGTGTCCTCTAGCAGGAGTGTCCTCTCATGGTGGTTCTACTGTAGTTCATGTTTAGAAGTCTGGTGACAAAAGGATTAAATGATAAAGACAGACTTCAGACATTGTGCAATGTGTTTCTTGGACTTCAAAAGATTACGAATGTATATGATCTTCAATGAGCTAATAATATCTAGAGGATCTTGTCTTCTGAAGATATTTCAAGGATTGACAGAAATTCAAATTATCGAGAGTCAACCGTATATTCATTTATACTCTAAAACTGAGTTTACAAAATTCTCTACTAACAAATTTAAGGTAATAAGACCAAATCCAAATAAATAAATAGTGTGTGACGTTTCGGTAACAGCGTTGTTACCATCTTCAGACAAAAGAATAACTTCTTAGGTCCATTGAAGTCTATAAAAATGATAAGGCACAATTTGGATTATAGATTATAAACACAAGGTAATAAGACCAAATCCAAATAAATAAATAGTGTGTGACGTTTCGGTAACAGCGTTGTTACCATCTTCAGACAAAAGAATAACTTCTTAGGTCCATTGAAGTCTATAAAAATGATAAGGCACAATTTGGATTATAGTTTATAAACACAAGGTAGTAAGACCAAATCCAAATAAATAAATAGTGTGTGACGTTTTGGTAACAGCGTTGTTACCATTCACTTTTGTCTGAAGATGGTAACAACATGTTACCGAAACGTCACACACTATTTATATATTTGGATTTGGTCTTATTACCTTGTGTTTATAATCTATAATCCAAATTGTGCCTTATCTACTAACAAATTTTTCTCTTATGATATCAGAATTTTTGATTATAACTTAAATATATTTAATGATGAAAAACTTAAAGAGAATGAATCATTATATAGGGTCAAAATTGTATTAAAATATATATTGATATGAACACAAAATTTTATGATATCAAAAGTTTGAACTATTATGCCCATTTCTGACTCTATGTTATCTTTACTATTACAATTGCCGTCACAAACATATAATTTCTAGATATAACTATTGAAAATAGAGCAATCCATAAATAAATCTAATTTAAAGATATACCTATGTGTGCAAATGAAATTATATATAATTCATTAGTGCGTTGAATTGCAAAAGTAAAAATTATATAAAAATGTAGTAGTTATTGAGGCTTCATTTTAAATATTTGTTTTTATCACAAAATTACTAATTTAGTTTAGATGCCAAAATATTAGTTAAAAATTGTATTCTATAAAAACACTGTCAAAATGTAGGTAGGTATAAATGTAAGGCTTACTCAAGTAAAGAATTCAAAGTGTGTAAAAAATTAAATGTTTTAAGAAGCCTCTAGTTCAGCTAATTATATACATATATGTGTCTTTTTAAAATATCGTTAAGATTATTTTAAACTCGGCACACATATGTGTTTAAATTAAAATGTCATTGTGAACGTATAATCGTTTGGTTTTAATGGGGTGGATATGTACGTATGTGCGCCACGGCTGCGCATTGGCATGTTTTAATCATCAGCCATGATAGCATGAAGGGGTTGGTTGGCATCTCACCGAGGAAGGAGTTTTCTAAATAATAACGGTAGCCATTTAATCTGAAAGATGAAAAAATAGGATTTCCAAACGATTATGTTTAATACTTTTGGAAATAAAAGATAACGAGACAGACGAATGTGAAAGGAGCGAAGAACTATTTTTGGACTGTCACCGCCAAAATGTAAAAATATCATTTTTAATTTCCTTAAATAGCGAAAATATAGTCTTATGAGGCATGACATTTCTAACAAAAAATGTACATTATTATTCCGGATTAAAAAGCACAGGACTCGGATGAGAAAAAAACGAAAGTAAATTTACCAGGGTTACTCCTTTTAGCCCATATCCAATCACTAATTCAGTAGCTTCCGTCATTTAAATTGTAAACTTTAAAAATAGTTTTCAAATATTATTAGAAAACTAATAAATTTAACTACCCTTCTGTGAAAAGACAGTTCTCTATAAATTAAATTTAATGGGATCTGCCAATTTGATGATGATAAAACGGGCCTAATATTCTGTAAAATATGCCAAACCAAAACAAAAATAATCGAGGACAAAATAGTACTTTTCAATGATTTTGAAAATATTGGATTTCATTTTTAATATATTTTGTATTGATTTTAATAAGGAAATTTACGCTTCAGGAACATAATTATATTTAATCTAAATAAAATTACATTGTTAATTTAAATAAAAACCTTTTTTATTTCAATAGTTTTTTTTTATTTGTGCATTAATAATAAATTTTGCCACTAAATAATTGTCGTGAATACTCTTTTGTTAGTTTATCAACTAAAATATTTGGCTTCGTCACTACCCTTACTATATTCTTGTCGACTATCACTTGTAAAAAAAATATTATTACGTTTTGCATTCTATAGATTTTTTGTTAATAAATTATTTTTAACTTAAACTTTTGGAATATTTGTCTTCTCTGCCCTGACATTTGGTGGAGATTGAATTGAATCATTCCTACATCGCCCAAGCCGCCAGAAGAAGCCTAGACTTCAATGACTAGAGCCTTTAGAAGAAAAATGAAGTCAGAACAAGCTATTCAAGTTTCCAAAGGTGGGCAGATTTTTCAACCCTTTAAGAGTCCTTTTGTGTTTTCTGGAGAGCCTGGCCAGAATCCCGAAATTTGCTAAAGGAATTTTATCGGATTGCTCGGTATAACCACTGGGACAACTCAAAGTGCCTGGCGAACATTTATTTTTCCCCCTCGGGAACAGCAAGAGCCTGGTTCGAGAATGCGAGGACTCGTTTGAGACAATGTTCTCTGGTCGTCACACCACCTAAAAAGAACATTCAATTCAAAAACTAAAATACCGAGCTCAGGGAAAAGGTGAACTTAGTGAAATTTATTTTCAAGAAGTCTTCAACTTGTGTGCAAGAAAATCAACCACAAAATAGGCGAAAGCGAGAAAATTGTGCATATAATAAATGGGATATCAGAGGACATTTATAGATTGACTAGCAGACATTCCCAGCTTCGCCCTGTTTTTAAACCCGAGTAAAAGTTTGCCTAATGAACATTTGTTAAAACGATTCTAGAAAACATCCAATCCACATATATATAGATTTATAATATAAAGGACTGCGGTGTATGATTATAAAGTAATACTTAAAGCCTCCCGCATAAGTTTCTTTTTTTGTGAAAATCAATATTAATTTCAAAGAGAAACATGTACTATTTCTAACTTTTTGGATGACGTATGAAAAGGTTGAATATATGAAGAGTAATGGTCTATATATGATTGGATGACGTATGAAAGGGTGAAAATGTGAAGAGTAATGGCGAACGGAAAAATAAAAGTGTCCAAGGGCGGGAATCGAACCCACAACCTTCTGCTTCCCGGGCAGGTGCCATGTCCTAGCCAGGGTAGCCTAGTGGACATGGCACCTGCCCGGTAAGCAGAAGGTTGTGGGTTCGATTCCCGCCCCTGGACACTTTTATTTTTCCGTTCGCCATTACTCTTCACATTTTCACCCTTTCATACGTCATCCAATCATATATAGACCATTACTCTTCATATATTCAACCTTTTCATACGTCATCCAAAAAGTTAGAAATAGTACATGTTTAATTAGATTGACGAAATTTCTCTTAATGAATTGTAAAACGCTATAAAACGAAGAGAAAAATTATTTTATTAAAATGCATAGGCTACTAGCTTTCGGGCTCCAAGCCCTTCCACAGGTACATTGTACATGGTACATTGTACAGGTACATGTACCTGTGGAAGGGCTTGGAGCCCGAAAGCTAGTAGCCTATGCATTTTAATAAAATAATTTTTCTCTTCGTTTTATAGCGTTTTACAGTACATGTTTCTCTTTGAAATTAATATTGATTTTCACAAAAAAAGAAACTTATGCGGGGAGGCTTTAAGTATTACTTTATATAGATTTATAAACGTATATAATAAATGTTATATGCATTTAAATATATTTTTGAAACACATAATTTTTTTGAAAACATTTATTAAATTTTAAATAAGATATTTTCTTTAAATATATATTAATATTGAAATGCCAAGTTTTTTATAACGTCATTGGAATATTATATTACTAAATCCTCAAATTAAATATTAAATTTATTATACTTGGAACAAATTTGAGCAATTATACAATTTATAAATGTAATTTCACCAGATACCGCGAGAGGCGCTGCTTGTGAGTGAAAGTAGAAAATTTGCAAATAAAATTGCAATGAATATTTATTTCAAATCAAATTCAAACCAGAAACCTTCCCAGTAGTATAGTAAATAACTTCCTAAAGTTTCACGGCGGTTGGATAATCTTACATATTGAAAACATTCACCGTGTAAACAAGTAAACAAACTACGTATAAAATTATTAACCAATCAAATTCATTTATCGTCGCGACTAGTGCTGCGCTAAGCGGTAAAAGGCTGGAACTAACGCTTTATGGTTTTATATTTTAAAAAAAGCACATTAACATTTTTTTTAGGTTTTTGAATAGCCTATATGTTAAACGAAATCTTCAGATACCTACATGTGGAATTTCATGATGTTTGATTCTGTAGATTTTGCGCAACGCGATAACAAACATCGATTTTGGATTTCATTTTTATAGATATAAAGGATTGCCGTTATGGAAATGACCGAACCGACCCGAACCGAATATTTTATTAGGTGATGCAGAAAAATCTAAAACTCAAATAGTTTGATTTTCGAATAATAATCCCTTGAATCAATATTAAAATGCAAACATTAGGCCTCCAGGCAAAAGTTTCTTTTTAAAAATCATTTATTTATAAATATCTCTAGCTCTCGGCCAAGAAAGCCCTTCTACAGAAGAAAATATTTACATTGAACCGCCAATAGAATAAGTAATGAAATCAAATAAAATATGCTTTGGGTGTTTACAGTTATTACTGTGTTTATATAATAACTAGACGAATGGCCCGGGCAACGCCCGGGGTTTACGCGAGTGCGAATATATTTTAAACACGTTGTCTTGGATGGTCGCTATAGACAGGGTGGTCTGTATAGACAGGTGTATGTATCACACAGCCGATAACAGGGTTGTCTAGGGTGGCCGCTATAGACAGGGTGGTCTGTATAGACAGGTGTATGTATCACACTGCTGATAACAGGGTTGCCTGAAGTGACCGCTATAGACAGGGTGGTCTGTATAGACAGGTGATTGTAACACACTGATGATAACAGGGTTGCCTAAAGTGACCTCTATAGACAGGGTGGTCTGTATAGACAGGTGGATGTATCACACAACTGATAACAGGGTTGTCTAGAGTGGCCGCTATAGACAGGTGTATGTATCACACAGCCGATAACAGGGTTGTCTAGGGCGGCCGCTATAGACAGGGTGGTCTGTATAGACAGGTGTATGTATCACACTGCTGATAACAGGGTTGTCTAGAGTGGTCGCTATAGACAGGGTGGTCTGTATAGACAGGTGGATGTATCACACAGCTGTAGAGTGGTCGCTATAGACAGGGTGGTCTGTATAGACAGGTGTATGTATCACACTGCTGATAACAGGGTTGCCTAAAGTGACCGCTATAGACAGGGTGGTCTGTATAGACAGGTGGATGTATCACACAGCTGATAACAGGGTTGTCTAGGGTGGTCGCTATAGACAGGGTGGTCTGTATAGACAGGTGAATGTAACACACTGATGATAACAGGGTTGTCTAGAGTGGTCGCTATAGACAGGGTGGTCTGTATAGACAGGTGTATGTATCACACTGCTGATAACAGGGTTGCCTAAGGTGACCGCTATAGACAGGGTGGTCTGTATAGACAGGTGGATGTAACACACTGCTGATAACAGGGTTGTCTAGAATGGCCGCTATAGACAGGTGTATGTATCACACAGCTGATAACAGGGTTGTCTAGAGTGGCCGCTATAGACAGGTGTATGTTTCACACAGCTGATAACAGGGTTTTCTAGAATGGCCGCTATATACAGGTGGTCTGTATAGACAGGTGGATGTATCACACAGCTGATAACAGGGTTGTCTAGAGTGGTCGCTATAGACAGGGTGGTCTGTATAGACAGGTGGATGTATCACACAGCTGATAACAGGGTTGTCTAGAGTGGTCGCTATAGACAGGGTGGTCTGAATAGAGAGGTGTATGTATCACACTGCTGATAACAAGGTTGCCTAAGGTGACCGCTATAGACAGGGTGGTCTGTATAGACAGGTGGATGTAACACACTGCTGATAACAGGGTTGTCTAGAATGGCCGCTATAGACAGGTGTATGTATCACACAGCTGATAACAGGGTTGTCTAGAGGGGGGCGGGCAGGGAGGTCACGTGTTTGCTGGCAGCCAATGGGCGCGCATTCTATCCGTGAGCTTCAGACAAACAGACAAACAAACAGACAGAATAAGGCAAATATATAAGTAGATGTATAATACAATATAATGGGGCTTATGATTGTAAAACAACGTTTAACAAGTTTTACCGCAAAAGTTTCTTTTGAACGAAAAATCGTAATTTATTTTAAGGAGAAATAACGACTATTTCTATCCTTAGGGATGTAGTATGAAAGGATGAAAAAAAGTCTTCACAATTCATCCTTTCATACTTCATCCCTATGATGAGCCTATTTCGGCGCTATCGTCCCGAAATCCATGAGCCTCTTTCATTCTCAGGGAGTTCACGAAAATAATACATCCTGCTATATAAAAGGTATAATTTACACGTATCCTGCGCGCACTGGGGTAAAAAAAGGACATAGACAACTATGAATTTGATTAATACTACAATATATTTATTTATCTCCTTTGACGGTCATACAACGATAAGAATAAAAAAATAAATAAAACGGGCAACGAGGAAACACTGTGGGAAATTTTATATGAATATACCCGTAAAAAAAAATCATTATTAAAAAAAAATACTTAACTTAGTGCTTCAGTTGGATGGCTTGGAAATCCCTCCCCAAAATCTTGTAGACTACATTTTTTTAACGAGCTTCCCTATCCTATCCGCTCTAAGACTGAACTGTCCCTGCTCTAAAGCTTGACCCTGACTAACTTTTTCTCCCAGGGTGACCGAAAAAAAAATTAAAAAAATTAAAATAAATCTTTATCTGGTCACCCTCTGTGATAAAAAAGAAATTTAAAAAATAAAAAATAAAAATTATAATAAAAATTATCATTCGAAATATTATTTTAAAATATTAAAAAAAAAAGAAAACCCAAAATAGCTGCTTATTTAAAATAAAAAGAAAATTTATTATAGTACTATAAGTTATTTACAAAAACTAGAAATAAAAAGGAGGTGAAGAGATGGGCTGGTTTTACAAAGAAGAATGCTCGAAGTCCTCTTCTTTCTTGTCGAGGCAGCTTCTTCATTGTCCACCAGCTTTCCATTGATACTGTGGGTGAACTTTGTGGAGGCTCCAGAAGTGGCCTCTACAGTCCTTCCCCGCCAAGACCACGGGATTTGGGCTTGCGAGGGAGCAGGACAAATCTCCGGGGTCAAAAGTGGAGGTCGGGGGATGCTCTGGATTAGAGGAAACAATAGCACTGTCTAAAAAAATAAAAAAATAAATGTCAAAACAAAGGGCGCCATGCATTCTATTTATTCGCCAGTTGAATGCAAGACTGGTTTTTTAATTCCACTCTGTGACACGGATAGTATTGTGATAAGTATATCCGGAGTCTTAGGGTGCCTGGAACACAAGGGTTATAAACACATATATACATCTATTTATATGTAAGATTTGACACATTTGTGGGAAAAGGTGCATACCTACTTGTTTAAAAATAGTGCTTAGTGACTAAAAAAATAATAAAAGAGTCAATAATGAATAATAATCTGAATTATAATGAACTCAAACTAAAATAAAAATAAATAAGAGAGCCAAATGAATTCAAACCTGAACTATAATGAATTCAATCTAAAAAAAAAATAAAAGCAAAAGAGCCAATAGTGAATTCAAACAAAATTAAATAAATAAGAAAGCCAATAATGAATTCAAACAAAATTAAATAAATAAGAAAGCCAATAATGAATTCAAACCTGAACTATAATGAATTCAAATCCAAAAAATAATAATAATAAAAGAGCCAATAGTGAATTCAAACAAAATAAATAAATAAAAGACCAATAATGAATTCATAAAAAAATTAAATAGATAAGAAAGCCAATAATGAATCCAAACCTGAACTATAATGAATTCAAACCAAAAATATTAATAATAAAAGAGCCAATAATGAATTCAAACAAAATTTGAATAAATAAGAAAACCAATAATGAATTCAAACCTGAACTATAATGAATTCAAACCAAAAAATAATAATAATAATAAAAGAGCCAATATAATGAATTCAAACAAAATAAAATAAATAAGAAAGCCAATAATGAATTCAAGCCTGAACTATAATGAGTTCAAACTAAAAATAAATAATAAAAGGGCCAATAATGAAAAAAAAAAAAAACTGGTGAC